CCCCAAAACCCCAAAACCCCAAAACCCCAAAACCCCTGAAAGTCAACTCAGATTGAGATCTTTATATAATTTAAACACCAGGAGTATTCTGAGCTCAATCTTAACAGCATCTTTGATGATTTTAATCCAAATCTTGATCACTACCTCTAGAAACGATATACAGCGGATCATTAGTAGACACTCTAAATTTACCCCCAAAAAGTCCAAAAACAACCTATCCACAACCCCTATCCTTCCACCCACTTTCAAAATTCCCCAACACCCCAAAACCCAGCCCTACATTACACCCTCGCTATCAAACCTACCCTTCCGGCACCCTTCCGGCACCCTCCAAGCTTCTTTCACTAAATTTCCTCTTTAACCTCTTCAATCCCCTCTACACTTCCAGTCACCCCACAGCTGCAGCTGTGGGGTGACTGGTTTGTGACTGGGCTGGAAGGAGGTTTTAGTGGAAGAAGGGGGTGGAGGGGTGGGGGAGAAGTAGGGGGTGGAGGGTTGGAGGGGTGAGGTGGAGTGTTAGGGTGGGGTGAGGGGTTGGGGTAGGTGGGTGATTTTGTGGGTAAGGTGGAGGATGAGGTAGTGGAGGATGAATAGGGCTTTTTTTAAGATAGGTTTATTTCTGATTGAAGTCTTTGTAAGATTTTCAATTTTCTTTGGTGGTCTGAAAGAATTTGTCAATGAGCTCTTTTGTATGTTTTAGGATCTTCAGAATCTTCTTGAGAGGCACCCTTTTAAGAGATTGTTGACCTGCGATCTTGTTGAGAAGCGTATATAATGTGCTACCAAAATCTTCCTCCCGAGGTTCTAAATACTTCAGAATATAGCTAACAGGCTTAGTCTGACAGCTTACATTTCTTTCTTCTTCGAGGATTACTGGCCTCTGCTCATTAATTGTATGCTGGGTAAGGTCTGGAAGTCTAGCTTGGTTCGAGGCGTTTCCAGAAGCTCCTTTGATCTCCTCAGTTATGTTCTCGATGTAATAGGCTTGATATGATTCTGATTTTTTAGATATCTCTGATTTCCCAATGATGTTGTAGTCAATTGACCCAGTAGGTTCGTCATAAACATTCTGGAAGTAAATGGTTAGATCGATATCATTCCAATCAGGTTTATTGGGCTCCATGACTAAATTCTTAATATCTTTCGACTATAAAATATTTATATGGGGTTTTGGGGTTTTGGGGTTTTGGGGTTTTGGGGTTTTGGGGTTTTGGGGTTTTGGGG